TGTTTTGTACTAACCTTGTACATGTGTACATTTGTAATTTAACACATTCTTTATTATGAAAACATCAAACATGTGCAAAGGTAAAAAGAATGTGCAATTGACCTTTGCAGATCGCAACCTGGGTTATAGTGTTGTTCATTTTTATTGAATTAGTATTGAAACTAGGCTTTTCAGTGGACAGAACTAGAAGAAAAGAATATATTGTTCTTTATAGTAACACTTCCAATTCAAATTTAGGACAGTTAACTATAGGATTTGACCTTCTATGGTTTTTTTTTCCATGTCGAGAAACCTCATTTGCTAACCCATGCTTTGGTGTCTCTGCTGCTATGTCTATTTTCTGAATCTCATTCTGTAGTGGGCCCTTAATAATCGACCATTTGAACAATATTCCTTGAATTATTTCATACTGAAAACAGTTTTCCGTGTCCTTCATACTTGAAACTCAGTTTGCTTGGCTATAACTATTTAGCTCACACTTTGTATGTTCAGTATATTAAATATGTTATTATATTGTCTTCCAACATAGGGTATTATCTAAATGTTTCATAGTAAGATTTGTTTCCTTTATAAGAACCTCGGTTTGTTAGTTTATTTTTTTGTATACTGACCAAATTTTTTCTTTATTATTTTTAAATACAGTAGTTTTACTAGACTGTGTTTCAGGTTTGATTATTGGAATGCACCTAGAACATGTACTTTCAAATATTTTTTTTCAGAAAAATGTTCTTCAACTATATTATTAAATGTATTCTATTTCATTGCTTTGGTTGTTTTTTGTAGGGATTTGTGTGAGACACATGGAATTTCTTCTGCCCTATATTTGGAACTTTCTCTCAGATGTTTTAAAAAATTTCCCTTTGATTTTTAGGGCTTCTTTCATTTGTCTTCTATTTCTGTTAAGAAATCGTGTTGGTCTTATTAGCTCTTCTGTTACTCAGTTGGGTTTTTATATGTGAAGTATTTTAAATTTTATGTTCTTTAAATTCTGTCACTTCACTTCTGAGTTTTTTTCTGATTGCGAATTGCATTTCATTGCAGCCTCTTTCATTTTGGTCATTTCTTTTAGTGTATTTTAAATATTAGCCAACAGTTTCCATCCATTGGATAGACAGCTCTTTGGCACGTCCTCCTTGGTCTGTAGAACCATTATGTTATTCCTGTTTGTTGGTTTGTTTTTTGTAATAATTTTATTTAGGACTTTATCTTTCTTCCTTCTCATGTCTTTTTTGTTCCATCTTTCTAGTTCTCTACTTTTTCTCTCTGTGTTTCCCTTCTTTATTTGTTACTTTATTGGGGTGACACTGGCTGATAAAATCATGCAGGTGTCAAGTGCACAACTGTGTAGACATCACCTGCCCACTGCACGGTGTCCTCATCACCCAACTGAAGCATAACTCGTGCAATAAAATGGACAGCTAAGGTCTCTGAGCCCCCGTTGCCTCCTCCTGCACCGATGATGCTGCCCATGGGTTTTTGTGCTGCCTGGAGTTTGTGCCACCTGCTTACATTTTGAGGTTTGTGGGGATATTGGACACAGTGTTCTTGTGGCTATTTTTCTATGGGCTTTGAATTTAGTATGTTAGTTGCTCTCTCTTTGGGTGGGGTTTCGGGGAAATCCCACACAGTCCTGTGCTGAAGCCATGTTTTCAGAACTCTGTGGCTTATCTTGCTGGTATTGTGAGCAGCATGTCTGGACTGTTTAATGTTTGTAGTGGAAAAGTGTGATGCTGATCTTTTACTCAAACGAGCTTTGGAGCATCTAGATTAGTGGGTTCTCTGGAGTTGTCTCTTATTGTGACGTTTGCATTTTCTTAATGTTATAACTGCAGTTCTTTTCACCACTGGCTCTTAGTGTCCCAGGGGTATTTCAAGAGAGCCTTACAGAAGAGACTGTGTAATGTAGTAAGGAAAGTGTCCGATAGGACATCTGTCCTTTTTAGTGATCCTGTTTTGCCATATGGTGGATGGTACCCACCTGGCTTCAGATTTATCTGAAGGGAATAATTCAGAAAGAATGGAACCTCTTCCTACCCTCTGTCACCTAAGTGGGTACCTTTCATGTCACATAAATGAATCAGCAGAATGCTGATTAATGTAGAACTGAAAATGCCTCTGAAATTCAAAGTAGCTTGATAATTTGTAGAAATTGCTGCCCTCTTGTTTGCTTGGTTGTTTCTGAAAAGTGCTTATACTTTATTCTGGGCACGAGGGGGCCGAAGGCAGCTGGGACAGAGCTTTACTCTCCTCTTACCCCGCTGGGTGACACTTGGTCTTTCCCCACGGACACTTCCAAAGAGATAGCTGTGGACTTAATCACAGTCTTAGCCAGTTTCACACATTGACCCATTTGTCTTACAAATTCATCAAGTTTTTCACAAAGAGCCCTTTTAGGGAAAACATGCTTGCATCTTAGGAAGTTAATACATGCATTGCCATTCCAGTTTATAACTGGCAAGGTCCTTCTCATCCAGTCTTCACGACACCCTTCCAAGAGCAGGCGCATTTTCTACTTTGCAGATGAGGATACTGAGACTCGAAAGTTGTTACCTACTTAAAACGATGTGGACAGTTTATGACAAGAGCCAAGAGGAAATTACTGATTAATCAGAATAATTATTACTACCTTAGGAAGCCTCTCTGCATGCCAATAACTCAAAAATATCTATAGGAAACATGATCACCTGTGTATCTATTAATAAATCAGCCCCATTTTAATTAGTTACAACTTAGAGAAAAATGTTAGGAAATAAATATTTATATTTTTAAATGTGTAATATATAATATATGTAGTATAAAGTAATACGCAATATTAAATAAATTTACCTTATGTTAAAATAGTCAACACACACTGTGGAAATGTATTGATTTGTCCATTGAACTTCAGAACAATTGTTTATGATACTCTGGTGTATGCGTGAAAAAGCTGAGTCACGGTGCTGTTAAATGGTTTGCTTACACAGCTGGTCCAAGAGTCAGGATTCACTATCCTATGTCTTCTTATTCCAAGTCCTATATTCTTTCCTTTCCACCTGCTACCTTGTGATGAAGCCCTCAAACTGTTTTAAGGCAGCTGAATGAACCAGCTATTACAATGTCGAGAATTGCTCACGTGGCCGGGCCTGCTTGGTAATAACCAATTTTATAAAGCATAATTACTAGAGAAATGATGAAAAAGACTGAGAGTCAAAAGATCTCAGACCTAACTTCAGCCATACGGATCATAAATACTCTTTGGGCATATAAGGGAAAAGACGGGGTTTCCCAGGAGCGAAGTGTGTGTATACTTTATCAGTTTTTGTAAAGTACGACCCAGATATGTGTTGGACTGTGTATGCTCTCTGCCATTCACTCTCCTGGCAGTCTTCACCTCATCAACACATTCTGCGCACACATTCTAATGTCATTGCCACGGCTCGTGCCAGCCAAATGCTCACATACCACATCCACTTCACGGCCGGACTCTTTCTCAGGATTAAAGGACTCTGCTGTGTCATTCTTGCACTAGGCAAACTAAAAGGAAATATATAATTTCTGCAAGCCACATGTTTGATCGAATCGGCCCGGTCATCTGTCCCCAGAATCCAAAGGCTGGTTTCCCTGGTCGCCTTGCTGCTCAGAGACAGCCACAAGGCAAAAGCAAAAATATACGGAGCAAACCAGCCACCCGTGGTAACCCACAGTCAGGGTGGCTGGGGAGTTTTGATTTCGTCTGTGATGCTCAGCATCCTTACCTTCTGAGCGAATCACCTTACACAACTCATTTTTTTTAATTAGTTATTTTTATCTCACTTGATTTTTTTTTCATTGCCTTTTGAGAGAGGGGTTGGGGAGTGAGAGAAAGAGAGAGAGAGAAAAAACATCGATTGGCTGCCTTCTCGTACATGCCCCAAGATCAAACCTACAACCTGGGTGCGTACCCTGACTGGGCATCAAAACTGTGACCCTTCCAACTGTGGGATGACGCTCCAACCAACTGAGCTGCATGACTCGGGCTACACATCCCATTTTTCAGGCCCATGTCAGCAGGGATTGGAAGTCGGCTACCTGGCAAGCTGAATACATGCCCGGGTAGTGTCCCTGTGTGTAAGTGTGTCCACACTTTAAACAAACAGCATCATATGGCAAAGTGAAATTGCCTTAGACATTTTTACTTAAGATTAAATCATACCTGAGTTTTCCATGGCAGAAATAGTGCTGGCCTTAGGGCAAAGGCGGGGGGGAGGAGAAAGGGACCAGGGGTATTGGAGTGCCACTTCTGTTTGCAGTGAGTCTGGTCACATGCGGCATAGCTGCCATAACATTGTCACCTTTATCAGCCTAGGCCCTTTCCAAGGCATTGTGCATGGGGGTGGAAGACTTTTGCTAAGTCGTAAACCTGTCACTTACCCCTGGTATGTTCTTTGTCAAATACCCCTTCGAAGCTCTTCTGAGCTTAATGCAGCTGTAACACGAAGTAGCCTGTGAGTGGCATCTTCTGGAAGCCATCAGTCTATTGTCACAGGCTGCTGCCACATGGTAGCCACTCCCTGTTGGGAGACTTTGTCGGCATCTCCTAGGACTTTTGCTTCTTCCTCTAGCAACATAGGAAGCCAAATGGCATATAAGTAACAAAATATAGGATATATATATTACCTTGGGGGAAATGGCTGATATTTTATTGGTTTAGAGTGTAGAGAGGAAGTATAAACCTTCCACTTCCGGTATATCTCAGCTTGACTCCGGTTCATTTCTGAACTATGTTGGACACACAGTGATTGACCATAGAATTGGACCGGGGAGACTTCTCAGTATGTGGAGGGTTTTGTCAGTTGCCACGACCCATATCCAAACCCCTACATGAAACCATCAGACAACTAGTGTTGGTGCCTGAACAGTCTGTGTCCTCTTGGTAATAATAACGGTGCATGAATGAAATCAGCTTTTGGATGGAGAAGGAATGTCCCGTATTGGAAAGTAATCATCGTTTTTATACTCTGTGTGTGTGTGTGCTTTGACAGCTTTCTGGAGACCACAGCCTATTTCTTCATGAAGCCAAAAATTGGAGAGAAGGAGGTGTCCCCAAATGTTTTTTTCAGTATCTGGCATGAATTCAGCTCTGACTTTAAAGACTTTTGGAAGAAAGAGAACAAACTCATTCTACAAGAGAGGTAGGGTTTTTTCATTTGCATGATGGCATTTTGAAACTGGTATTTTATTAGGTGTGATACCATGAGGGTTGCCAACTTTTATAGCCTGAATGAACAATTAGATGGGCCTCAACCTGGGGTATCAGGTCTAAGAGGGTGCTGAGATTTGGCAAAACTCGGAGTTTGGGTAAAAGAATCGGCATAGAGGCTGTGATACTACCAAGAACGGCTGGGTGATGCTTTGCCAGGACAGCCGTCTGGTAAAACAACTTTTCTGATGAGGAAACAAGACAAAGAGCAGACCATGTAACAGGAGTGGAGCAACCCTGTGGAGGTGACAAACCCACTCGCCTCCAGAGACCAACAGCAAAGAATACAAAGGTAAGAAGAATCAGTTTTGTTTTGGTTTTGCTCAATTCATGGGATATTGTCAAAATTTCACTGTTTGTATAAAAGTCTCTCCCAGGTGTTACCAAGAAACAGATGATCAATGTATCTTTTGAAAGGGCATTCAGGATTCTTGTAGAATTATATCACATTTCCTGAAGCAGAATCTTTTCAGGAATGAAGGGAAATGTCTCCTCTGAAGTATTGAACTAGAGGCAATGCTAGTCATAGCGAGTTCTATGGCATAATCTGGCATTATCTGGCATAATCATGCTAGTATCTGGCTATGATTATGCAGTTCCATAGAGGCATATTAAATGTTAATTCCGGAAGAAAGCTCATGCTCCCAGAACAGCATCCCCCAAGAGCTGGTTCTAGTAGGAGAATGAAAAGAAATTGTAATCAACACTGTAAACCAAACACTAATATTGAAACCACTCAGTCTACTCTCCAACATCCTCTCGCTGACAATGATTTTGCTTTAGATCTTTAGAAAACTTACATCCTAAGGGACTTTGCTCACCACACGCTACTGCATTCCACAGTTCTCTGCTTATTCTCTTCATTTCGGTCTTGCTTGCATGCAAAGCCAGGATCATCCACTCCGTTTGCATTTGCCAGTAGATTCTGGTACATCCTTAAATCAGGTGAAATTAACTGCTAAGATCTGTGGACCATGTACACGCTGCCTGACTTGCGCTAACTGATGTAATTACTCAGATACCACAACTTCATCATAGAAGCAACTCTGCCTCAGTGAATGTAGATGGAAAAACAGAGCAGTTTGAAACGGAGGAAAACATTTGAAACATCCTCCCTAGAGGTTATGAGTTTCTTCTGCTTGAAAATGCATCACAGAGGTTAACGGGAAAGATGATTTCAGTTAAAAGTCAGTCAAGGCAGGTAAGATAGAACAGAGAATTGCTTAAAGATAAGCATACTTGAATTATTCATCTCCTTCAGACTTAGTTGTATGTTATGAATTTTTTTACCAAGCAAGGCTGGCTCAGTTTGGAAAATTATAAGAAGGAAACTTTTTTCCCTCGGCCCATCCCATACAACTTCCGTTCATGAACCTCACTGGATTCCCACAAACCTCTTTTCCTCTCTAGTCTAAACTTGTCCTCCCGAAAAGGGGCCTGAAAAGCAGTCACACTAAGGTACAAAACCGAAAGATTAGTATTTTCACCTTACACAGACACAATATTTGGGATCAGAGTCTAAGGGAGGGTGGAAGCGGTGAGAAGTGGTGAGAAATTAGGCATCGAGGGGAAACTGATGAGCTGTCACTTGGGAGTAGCTGTTCTGATCAGGTAAGTGAATTGTGCAGAAGGCTGGCATCTTGTGGTGGACACCCCAGGACGAGAACATAGGTAGACACTCTAATCTCTTTTATTGCATACGCCAGCACAGAGCAGCTGAGATGCCATCTTGGAGGAAATGTTGAAATTGACTAGAGGCACAGTCCCCGTGAGACAGAGTTAAGCTTCTCTGTAACACTGGCGATAACAGTCTCATGTTGCTATTTTATGCATTTGACATGACCAGAACTTGCTTTTCTTCACTCTCTAAGTATCTCATAAAATCAAACACACACCTCCCCCTTCTTTTGTACTTTACCCTGTGCCGTCATGTCCTACAAATAAAATATACTACGGGCCGTTTGAGTCACACTTGGTGGCTTGCCTTCCATTTTGGCAGAGTTGTGCGCTGGCAGATTCCAAGTGCTCTCCACTGCAGATTGCTCATTCTTCTAAATCATTTCATTTCAATAAAGGGCTAAGGAGGAGCACACAGAAGGTGACAGTGTGCTCCTTGGCCCTTTGACATCCGAAATATATCATGTCTCTTGGCAAACAGGCTGCTTGGAAGAGCATGCCCGCTGGTCTGAATCGTTTGGAGAAAAACATTGTCCCTTCCCCTCGTGCAGGGCCAGCGGTAGTTTCCAGGGAACCACGCAAAGTGGAAATGCTGGGCCCCTTGTTCAAAAATTGTTAACAATTTCAAGATGGCAAATCATTAAGCCACATGTACAGCCCTGTGAGAGTGCGGCCCTGTGCAGTTGCAGAGGTACACACCCATGGAGCCCGCCTTGCCTTAGTGCAAGCTTTACATGGGGCAGGGATGCTCTGAGTGGCGTGGGACATGGGTAGGAAGCACGGGTGTGGTCCGTTACGGGTGTGGTCGGTGAGGAGGATTAAACCTCTGGGGTAGTCACTGTTTGTGTGAGTGGGACCAGAAAGTAGAAGTGTAAGGATCCAACACAAATGTCACTGCTTTTTTATTACAGAATCATAAGCATGTAATTCTGTAATAAAACATCACACTCCAGCACACCATATGACATTTCAGGTGAAATGTTCGAACTAAAACTGTAAATCATTACATCTGTATCATTACCCTATCAGCCACACTCAGGCAGGCCTTACTTCTGCCGGACCCTGTAGATGCTTAAAATGGGACGCTGTTTCCCAGGGTGCTTGTCCCCTCCTCTGTCACTGCAATATGTACTCTCCACATACTTTGTTTGTTAGTTAATCCTGTATTGTCCAATGACATGTCTGTTCTTATTGGATACCGTGACTTAGTTTTTGACATTTGCATTGATCTTTATTTCCCAGCGTCTTCACGTCTGGTATAGTCCTTACAGTGCTAAGCCATATTCCCTCCTTAGCGTCTCATAAACATTTGCTGATTTGACCTGTTGTATCATTGTATTTAACAGACGTGGAAATTTGGACTTAGATTAGTGAAGTAGTGAAGGTGGATTTTTTTTGTATGTGTGTAACAAGTTTATTATTGAATTACCATTGTACTAAATTACAATGTAATTTGTAATTTACAATTGTAAATGGAAATTACAATGGAAATTTACATTGAAATTACAATTACAATGTAATTTCAGTTATTCAATTACTTAATTGAATAATTATTCAAATTATTATTAAATGATCATTACATATGATGGTAATAAAAACCCTACTCCAAACCCTGGGAGCAGAAAGACCCCCTTTGTTTAGACAGGCAGACCCCACACGGGCAAGATGGAACTTGCCAGAGCAGGGGCTCTGACTGCAGTCTGTAAGGTTAGCCAGCCGTGTTTCTCCCTCACTGTCTATCTTTTTGCATGTCCTCCTCCTCCTCCTTTCTCTTGTCTGCTCTTTCTCCCTCTCTTCCTCTCTGTCCCCTCCCTACTGTCCCCCGTAGTTTAGCTTAATTTCCAAGCCAGGCTGTTCCTTTTAAGGAACATCAGTCACAGCCCTCGGCCGTCAGTCACAGCTCTGGCTTCCATTCTCACCACCCACAAGGAAAGGACACAGTTTACCATCTAGAAAATGCCAAGAAGTGACTTCAGATGAGTTGTGCTCATCTGTGAATCCACAGTAGCTCAGGGCACAGCACCGTGATTAGCTGAGCGGTTGATAGGCCCAGTTCCGCAGCCAGAGGGGACAGTCATTCTGATGGATAGCTAGCTCCCTTCCTGGCAATATCTTCGGAGTTGGGGAAAAGCACGTCTCTATAAAAAGTAAACAATAATCTACTACCCGTAACTTATTAAGCCTTTAAAAGTAACCCCATGGTTTAATGGTGTGGTTGAAATTTCCCTTTCTAATTAAGTTTTCCATGCTCTTATTTGGAATTTTTCATTGAACAAGATATTTAAAGTTTTAAATATTGCATACATTTTTCTTACCCCATTATTTCTAACTGGTGTCTGGTTATAAAGTAGTAGTAATGTATTTTCTGGCTCTGTCCTAGTGAGTCATATGGTTTGATAGATATATTTCTTGAAATGGTGAATTTGTATACATCCATGTTGAAAAGGCATGCTGTCTTTCTAATTGATGTGATTTGAAAAACATGAGGATTGTTGAATTAGGTCTTCTTCTGCTTACTAACTATAGTCACGAAAAGCCCTACTTCCTAACCTGCAAAATGGAGCTAAAATGACCTGTCTTGCAGTTTTATTGCTAAAGTAAAAGCTCTGTCTACATGCTGATGCTCATTGGCTGTTCCGCCATCATTTGACATAAATGATAACCTGCCCATGACTACCTACCTCCAAAATGACCTAACATAGTGTGATAAGGCATGTTAAGTATCTTAGGAACATATTGTGGAAATACAAGGGATTGTTGTGAATGAGCTACTTTCTTGGTTAGGTGAAATGCCTTGATTCTCATTCTGAGGGTTAAGTTTTGTTGGAAAATGTTAAGGCAGGCTATCTCCCCCTTTTAAATTTTTTTATTATGCTCTATGAAGGAACTCTTGTTTTGGTGCTTTACACAACTGACCCTTTGGTTTTCACATGAATCAGAAAAAAATGTTTTTTTCCCATATACTTGGAACTAGGCATTTTCAATTGTTAATAAGAAATCATCCAAAAAGAAATGTAGGCTTGTTACCCCTGAGCAGCCCAAGACATAGGAAAAATAATTTTCTAAACGAATTTCAGCTTGACTACATCCAGAAGGCAGTGGGATAAACTAACATTTACTCTGCCAGCGTGGAAGGAAATAGACAGGCCTCATCTCTTCCTTTCAGGAAGACATTGGCTACTAATGAGGCCCCCTGGAGCGAGGACAGCAAGAGCTATAATGTCACTTGGAGGAAAAGAGCACAACTGATTGAGA